AAAAGTCTCCTCGGCAGCTGTCTGTCTGAATACTATAAAATCAAAAACCAATGGTGGAGAAAGTTCAATTACGTTTTTTTTTGTTTCTATACTGATAGACATATTTGATTTTTTGTTTATTTGCATTGACTAGGCTGGGCCAATTTTGAAAATTCTGTCAATTACGTTAAGCTAAATCATATGCATAGAGTATACTTTACTTGGACGTAGTTCCAGGAAAACGCTCAAATCAGAGTCCGTTAGAGTCGACGTCTGAGGGACAACAGATGACTTTCCGAGAATAAAGTGGAATGGCGTGATTACATGTAGCGCTTCCAGTGACGGTGATACGTATGTGAGTGGTTTTGAATTCATTATAGCTTCAGCTTCGCATAAAAGGGTTGTAATTTTTTTTGTCCAGAAGCACCTTCAATAACTCTCGATGCCGTGAGAAGCATAAGGTCATACCTGTCAGAATAATAACTCTAGAGAATTATTTTCACATTTCATTGGTATCGGAATTATCTTTGTTAGCAATAACGGAGTTATTACTAGTAGGATTCTGAGAGGAATTCGTTGAGTATTCAAGATGGGCTTCCGAAATGATTAGTGTAATGCTATGGATGATATCATGCGAAAGATGGCCCTTAATTACCATTCGACTGTTTCATTCTAAGACCCAAGATTTCGTACATTGAGATCTCAAAGAAAGTGACTTTTATGAAGTATGGTATGCAGCGAGCGTCGCCTGCGAAACCAATTCATCTGATTCAGATTCCAACCGTTCGATTTCAAGATGTCTCGCTCCCGTTCTGCTAGCTCGCGCTACCGTTTTCTCTCTACTGCTCACTGCGCTCGCACCATAGAGCGACGAAGCAAGTCAAATTCAGCTTCGAACTTCACTCCACGTAACGTAGCGGATGATTGATTCGAGCTACTGCGGCAAGCAGGGTTAACGTAAAATGAAAGCGTATCCGGATTTTATACGTGGATAAGAAAATCGTCTGAAATTTCGTGGGATTGTGTGGGAAGTGATTATTTCCAAGAGCTGGCGAACAGTATGCTCGAGGATGAGGAAATTGAATCACTTACCACATTGTCTACGCCGTGATCCGTCGTCTGCCTTGTTTTACTTCGTGTTTCCACTATGAATTGGATGACAGAATGAAAATAAGGTATATGACAAAAAAATACGTACAAGGATCTAATGGACCAAAAATAACAACTACGGATGAGCTAATTAAATATGGACTGTATTAAAATAATATGAATTATCTGAAAAACACAGTAAAACAAGGACAACACAAATAAATATTTAAAATATACAACAAGCAGATCAAGACGTATAAACTCACAAAATGATTTAGGCCAACAAACCAAACCAAAAAACCAGCCAGCCAGTTGCTAACCATATGTATTTCGGATCAATTAGAAAAATCTAGTATTCGATGAATATACCTAAGATACTGTATTTATAAATACACGCAAAAATTTTAACCTATGTTTATTTATTTTAAAGAATATTTGTTTCTTTTGATTAAATTTTGTCTGGAGCTACGTTGGATAGCGATTTTTCTCTAAAAAAAAAACTTTTGCCACGTTGCCACCGACGGAAATTTGATGAAGGGCCTGCTAGGGTCGGGTAGGGATAGCAAAATCTCAGCTAGGCAACTCCGTTCGAGGGATTTTATCATAATACTGTAAGCAAAAACGGCTTTTATGTGAGAAATAAATTTCTTTGATGCCACCCGTCCACTGTCTTATGAAGCTCTTGAATAAAATGAAACGGCCATCTTTGAATAATTTTCTTGGGCTATGAGAATACAAACTATATTTTTATAAATAAAATATAATTTCGATTTTAAGAGTTGTTTTTTTTTTGGTTTACATAAATATATTCTGAAGTCGAGCATAATTAAGGGTGTAATTAGATGTTATGTTATACCTAAATATACTATTATTTTAGTAATATACCATTAAAAGAATTTGGAAATTTTAAAAGTACTTACAAAAATCTTTTAGTCGGTGAAATTGATTATAAACGCTTCTCAGGCTGTCGCCGGTGTACTATATATCTTACATAGTAAGACTTTTCAACAAATTGGATCGTCTGCTCAATAATGCTATTCGTTTCATATATGGCCTTTGTAAATACGACCATATCTCTGATTTCAGGTGGCAACTTGGTTGGCTGACTATCTTTCAACGCAGAGACCTACGAATTCTGTGTATGCTTTATAATATTTTATTCGATCCATGTACCCCAGGATATTTGAAATCTAGCTTTCGTTATCTTGGTTCCGGTCATGAGCGTAATCTTCGCTCTAGTAGCAACCTAATTCTTCAAACCCCCTTTCATCATACTTCATTTATTTCTAATTCCTTTACCCTCACAGCTATTCGCCTTTGGAATGCTCTTCCGTTTCGCATTAGAAATGCTCAGAGTAAGGTGATATTCAGGAAATTGGTGCGTGAGCACTATCTCGGACTGTAATTGTATCGTTCGCATTCTGTATGTTATTTATGTGTATGTATTGTATGTATGTGTAATTAGTATTTATGTAATTATTCAATATTTTTATTTATATATTTTTTTTATTTTGTAATTTTTTTTTTTACTGGATATATCAATCTTTATCGCCTAACATGCAAATCCAACATTCGCTCAAGTTGACTGGTAGAGAATGCCCTTGGCATTAAGTCCGCCATTTGTATTATTTTTATTTAATGCAATAAAGAGTAAATAAATAGTTAGGCTAATTGATTTAAGTGTAAATTTTTTTACAATTTATACTTATATATGTATAAGATTCGATTACACTGGCCTTGCAACCCTCCGATATCTCAGAGATACCTGGGTTGTTTGTATAGAAAATTGAATTTTTTTTATTTCCATGGGTCTGAATATTGTGGTACCTACGTTGTTTCAGATTTCCATATCACAAGTGCTTAATTGCTGATTAGTTTGCAATCTGAGCAACGTAGGTATGTGATGTTGTCTAGTATTTATCAAATCCTCGTCCTAATTGAGTCTTAAAGGCACTCGTCCACTACCTCAGCACGCATGAACCGGCAGCACAACACGTAACGGACGCACGGATTTGATGTCAAAATTATTCTGATAACGTCATAGGAATTTGTAATATAATACGTTGCGTGTCGTGCGCCCGGTGCATGCTTGCTGACATATGGACGTTGACCTGAAACCGTTACTCAATATTTATTTTTTGATTTTTATAATCGGTTTTAGGTTTTCTTTCATAAATACTTACAGAAATGTAGATGTACATAAATAGTACGATTAAATAAAAACATAGTGCTTACAATATACATTTATTTATTACAATGGTTCAATACTTAAAATATAATCTTACGTTAAGAAAACATTTATATTATATTCAATTAAAATATCAAACGACACGAGTTTTACTCACATCGAATTTGGCACCTTTATCTACGTTACAAATAAATATTAATATACTATACTTAATCAACTTCGTCATAATATACGACTTAATTTAACAAGTTTATACTTAAATACTTTGGTTTATTATCAATTTGGTTCATGATTGCAAGATAATGAATGTGAGAAGCAAAATTACATTTTTAAGTTTTTATTTTAAATATTAAATTCTTATTTAAAAAGTAATTAAACAAAAAAACAAACAAGTAACTAACAAAAAAATCGAGTAAGGTAAAAAACTAGTTTATTGAATATAAATATTTCAACTTTATAATATTATAATGACCAATATGTGCTTTCATATAATTAATAACGGGAAAATCGTCAAGATAAATCATTTTGGTGAAATATTATAAATTACTTCCTACATAGTCCCTGTATTTAATTTTTTATGAAAACTATTAATTATTCTCTTTTTCTTAAGTATGTTTCGGTAGCAAATATAATACTCTCATTTCATTACAAAGCATAAAATTTTCAATTTTTATTAACATATCGATTGTTATTAGGTATAAAGTAAGTAGCGACGCCCATATGTGGCTCAAACCTATAACAGTAGGTTTCACTAATATTTTATAGTTGAGATCATGAAATCAATCATGTACAAAAATAATTGATTTCATTGTATTTGTGTTTTCAGGAAAATGGAAACTGTCGGATATAGAATTTATTGAATTGATCTTCATTCAGCGCGCTGCAGTTAAAAGTTTAACACACGCACAGATACTATCGCTTTAGGATGCCATGTTAGCGTCCAAGGCGTCAATAACATTACGTGCCTAACCCATCTCACTTGGACGTCTTGGAAAATACGTGTGTATGAATTATTGCCAATAAAATCGGTCATACTCTGCGATGTCAACAGCTAATTTTGCCATGTCACGGATAGCAAGGGTAACCACGTCGCTGTTAGAGCAAAACTTTTGTTTATAAGAAAATAAAATCAAATGGCGTGTTGGACACATGCCCGTTTTCACTAAACTTAAGAGTCGCCCCAATCTGTCACCTAAATATTTAATCGCTTAATGTGAAAATGCATTTGACCAATTACTAGGAACTTGCCGACATTAAGCAATTTCTAAAGTTATGACATGCGTTATGCGGCGTCTTGCGCTAGGCGTTTACTCGTACGTAATATGATCAAAGTATAAAAGGTATTTTTTTATTATTTTGAATTAAACTAATCTGCTTAGGCGATTCGTAATTATAGGCGTTTCATAGTTAAGCTATGCCTTGTTCTAGGTTAGTGAAAACGGGTGTAAGAAAATAATTTTGTTCTCGTTACGAATTTGAGTTCGATTCGCGCACAATAATTTTCGGGCTTACGACAAAAAAGCTGCTTGAAAGTACCGACGTAAACAATGTATATTTTAATTGTATTATCATTATTTACAAATATATTTATTCGTATAACTTGATTTGGAGACAAGTTGATCCCGTGTTTATACTAGATTATAATTATATATGCACAAAATTCGATATTTATGTATTCTATTCTAATGCTTGAAGCTTCACCCGCCGAATTGATGTTTAATAATTATTATTTTTTTAATGTTTTGTATTCAGCTATTTATTTAGACTAGCGGTCTGTCTGTATTTATTAACACTCTGTTCTCCTTATTTTCAACTGCGCCAAATTTCAGTAAAAAATTTTGCTTCACGAAAACATTTATAAGATTTTGCTGCTATTTTGAAAAACAAATATTTTCACAAAAATATAACACAGCCATTCTATGTATATAAGATGAGACTTTTTGAATTCAAATTGCTGCACAATACAAACGCAAAAAAGCTTTGGTGTGTTGAGCATGTAAAGATATATTACAATTAAGAGAAAGCGAGACGATATTATCGAGGATATTCTCAATACAGTGAATAAATTTTGCAGTAGACAAACTTTTCGAACAATCAAAATATTCAAAGCCCTTTCGCGTTCTTGTAATTATAACTGTTGCTTCGTAGGCTCTCTAATTTAATTCCTCGATTTCGAGTAGTTTCTATTTAGGTTATTCTCAATACTACGAATCGAAATAGTTTACTTAGGGAAACAGGTTTACATATAACCCAATTTTCTATGTAAATAATTACTGGCACAAATATTATACTGACAAATCACATAATTATACATTAGTTACTACATAAACTAACAAAGGATGATTTAGAATTAAGAACATTTCTGTTAATGGATCAAAATTGAAAATGTGTAACAGTATATGAATCAATCATTTAATTATTGCATAAAATATAATTTACAAAAGAGGTCAAAGAGTATAAATGTCTTACTTTTAAGCAGCATGCATTAACGTAATATTCTTCAATAACATCTTTAACTATCGATATCTTACTCAGTACCTACTGCTTGTGACTGCTTGTGACTGTAAAAAAAACGCAAACAAAACAGTGGCCTAATTGTATAATTCTAAAATCTATTACAATCAATTTGAGTTTTACATTTGAAAGATATTCACAAATTTTACTCTACAACTATTAGACATGTGATAGCAATAGGGAATATGCGTCTGATTCAAAAAACGGTAAAATATATTTTATTACGATCGTTATTGCTTCAAAATAAAGTCTTGTAAATATTATTCAACATTAGTTCGTTTTCGTCTTGAAAATAATTATTAAAAAGTGCAAAATAAATGCGGTAACTTGAAAATATTTAAACGCCAAGCCACTTGTCAGAGCGGATGTGACGAAAATGTACACGTATAGGGATGTCGTTGTTACAAAAAGTTAACATCGATGCAATAACATCAATGTATTATGTCGCAAAATAAACAACTGATTACAATTTAAATAATGTATTAGGCTTTTATTTGTATTTCACCAATTTGGTAAATTATATTATTTATTAAAAAAGTCCATTATACTTTAAAAAATTGATGAGTTTCTAATCGATTTGGGTAATTGAATAATAATCGATCACTCAAAATCCATATTGATTTAAAATGTCACATCTCCAGTCGTGTACTTTGACGTCACGACGAGCGCGCCAAAAATTCCGGTGTTTAAACTGCTCGTAGCTATTATTTATTTTCATCAATTATTAAATCTTACAAAATTTTAGTATTTCGATACCGGGTATATTTTTAGTTATAAATTGATGTAAATTATCATATAAAAACATTTTCCAAAAATGTGCATATTCCCTATTGTGATCGCAAAGTTTTTTGAAAGAATTTGAATGAACGATAAGGTTTATTTGAAGTTAATCTGAATTAGACAACAAAGTTATAGTTACAAATATATTTGAAAGGTATTGGGAAATGTCAAATGAAATGAATTGTGTGTGACATAAAAATAATTAAAATCATCATTAATTCCAAAAGCGATTGTGACTTTAAAAGTTACGAATTTGACTATCACAACTGTTGTATGCTTAATAATGTTGTATGCTAGGGGTGTGTTGGCTTCATCCACAATGACCTGCCCGACGACGGCTGTTCAAAACGCGGGTGGCAAATGCACTTAAATACTCTCCAATGTACCCTGACTTTTTAAAAGACTCTTTTGTTTACCAAATGTGGTATAGCTGCTTTATACGACGAGATTTGGGAAAAACTACCTGTTCCAATAATAACACGATTACTAAAAATCTGGTATCTGTGGTTGCAATTCGGTAGACTTAGTTCAGGGGCGCCCCAGGCCTCAGGTTCTGAGAGGCCTCCAAATGGCTGCAAAGTCCCTTGATTACATTTATAAATTCGGGTTGAAGGCCCCGTAGACAAATGAGTACAGCCTGTAGTGGAGTAACTAACAATAAAAAAAGAAACTAAATCAAACGATCTTCGTAAAGGTGATGGAGATATTTCCCTATTTCGCTTGATCACGCCATCACACGAGAACGGATTTCGCTAATTCTGTTTTTGTTGTGTTTTTTAATGTCAGGAGAAGGTTTTTATAAAAAAAAATTGAAAAATGAGTGGAAATATTGAAAATTTAAGAATATTTAACCACCACATAAAATTATTTCTAATCTAACCTTAGTACTTTGGATAATAAAAACTTTTTTATGTAACCTTATGACGTTTCACATAAAATAGAAAGTAGACAGAATGCGTGCTGCAAAAAGACGACGTCTGTCAGATCAGCTAGTTTATGAATAAATTGTAGACGCAAATATGTCTTTTTTGTTAAAAATATTGAGTTCTGCTGTGATTAAACTGGTAAAAATTTACCCATCCCATCTCGAGGTATCTGGCTAGTGGATTTTTTCAATAATCTACTTGACGTACAGATAAAAAAAATAGCCATCATTCGTATTGTTTTTATTCTTAATTCTTTGGAACTTTCGATATTAATACTGTTGTGTCATATATAAAATACTGCACACGTGATAAGTCATAATTGATTGTACACTACAAGAACGTGTCGTCTCGTCTGTGAGGATGGCAATTGTTGTTCATCTGGTGATCTTCTGGAAGGTGGAGGCGAACCTTTCTGGAGTTTGTGCTGTTGGACTGATGAATTCGTTGCTTTGGAAACTTTATGCTCTCTTGTTCTTTTACCTTCGGAATGACAAGAAAAAAGTATACTGAACAAAGATATTTTTTTAATATTTAAGAGAATTGTTTATTGTTTCAATAAACTTAGTTTTAAACCTTGACAGTAATGTCCCGCCGAGTCCTCCTGTGCGATGATGTCAGCATCTCCGTGTGTGCCCGGGACTCGTTCCCTATGGGGCTTTCACTTGACTTCATCCAACACCAAAACCACTTGAATGGTGGGATGTTCCTGATAAAGAAAATTATCAAATGATACATATAATATCAATATAAGATTCTTTTAGTTTAGTTTACTCAAACATTATTGTCAAATAGATGCAATTTCTCTCTCCGTTTTCAAATCACATTTTGTAAAGGCAACTTAGTTTGATACTGTTAACTCGCAATCTTGTTAGAATAGCCTCAAAGTGTCGTATAGTTAGTGGTAAGTAGTACACCTCTCCCAGTGGGCCGTTAAATAAGATTAGAGTTACTCAATTTGTCTGATGTCGTACGTACGTTCGAATTCAATTGGCCGACGCGATAATGGAAATAATGCCGTCACAAAACGAAATGGCCTATCTCCTTCAATTGTACTATGCTCTAACTTAAAAGGTCCATAGAAGAATATGCTAGGTTACTTCTATTTTTCCAGTTAATATTCATCTCTCTGACATATTGTTAAAACTATCTTGGAAAATTTAACATTTTATCTAGCAAGAGCTGCCCCCTTGCTCTCGAATGCAACCGCGGCCGATCGACGTTGCAATTGTGTCGCTCCACACTCCTGATTGGCATACAAGCATACTCTGGCGCTAGTGTACCCAATCAAAAGCACGAAACAGCATAATTGCAATGTCGATCGGTCGTGATTGCGTTCGAGAGTAAGGGGCAGGTTTTAATACTTGGAATAAATCTATTGACATCTTGACGATTCAGATCTCTTACGGGTACGGTCTTTACGTCTTACTGTGTTCTGTGGTCTTTACATACTATTGATAGATTTTTCTGTACATGCTCAGCTTTTGACATCACCTTCCAATTATGTGCGACAAAATTATTGTTATGAATCATGTTACATGCTATACTGATACGCAAAAATCTGTTTGAAAATATATTTATTTTACAACTCAATAGATAAATTCCTATGACATACAGATGAAGGGACGTATAACACCAGTGTATATTAATAAGGTCAAAATAGGCACATAAATTATATTTCATTTCACGTCACCACAAATAATCGTTAAAATTAATTATAATAAATTAAACTATTTAGTAAAAATATCCAAATTTTAATGAGTCAAAAAGTATCGTTTTAAAGACACACTTAAGTAACTTTTAAGTACATATTTCCAATGTTGAGATTGGAACATTATCGTATTGAAGCAACAAGGGGCAGCTTTAAAAGCGCATGTTCCATTTTTTATGAGTTCAAAATGTTTTGTGGGATAATGTCGTCACGTTAATGGACGTCTTTACCACTCCACGCTCTTTATGAATCACTCTCGAATAATGGACACCGTTACACTTTTATTGAGAGTGACATAAAGCGTAGATATAATTATATATTATTATTCAATTTGACTGCCGTTCTTTGTCATGATTATTATAATAATTCCTAAAAAGGTCGACAGTCTGGTTTATGGGCTACTTTTTATCATTCAGTGGTTTTTTAAACTGAAATAAAATTAATTTAATTATTCTTTTGGAAACAATAAGTAATCTAATAGGTTACAAGTTAAATTACTGCTTTAGCGACACACTATAACAAGACATGAATATATATCGACCTGATATATAAACAGTACTTACTAGGTATTTGAAAAGGATAAATAGCTTAAAGAATCTGAGGAAAACAATAATTACTTCTTGGTCAGTTTTTTAATTGATTACGTTTGATTATATACTTTCAAAGTTCTAACAACAAAACTGTCACTAGCGTAATTAGTTCTGCTCAAAGGAATGCAAAAATTCTCTAGAGCGCATTACCCCTTGGGCACTTAAATAAAATATTGCTGAATAAATAAGGAGACTCAATATGATTGTTGATGTTCTTATTTACATAATAATGTTTAGTTCCTATGCTCCCATCTAAGTGACTTACTGTATGAATATTAATAGTTATATTTGATCAAAAGCTTTCACCCTGATCGCGAAAGATCTTGAGTTCGATTCCGATATCAATACCTGGGGCTGGTAGATACTTAAGCATTTCTTTATTAAGAATATCTCTAATTATATGTTCGTATGTATTCATTTTAATAAGTCTATTCTTTAATATTCCTACTTGTCACTTAAGACCGCATCATATATATTTTTTACTAGTGGCCGCCAGCGACTTCATCTGCGTTTTCTACTATTTCTTCGCTGCTAATAGTTGCAGCGTGAAGCCTTAAACCTTCCTCGGTAAATGGTCTATTCAACACAAAAATATTTTTTCAATTCGAACCAGTAGTTCCTGAGATTAGCGCGTTCAAACAAACAAACGAACTCTTCAGCTTTATAATATTCGTATAGATTTAAAAACTAATAAGCTCACCTGAGACTTAAAAATATTTTGCTAGAGAATATGAAGTAGATAACAGGGTTCGCTGCTGAGTTGAGAGGAGCAAGGCTCTGGATAAGCGAAGCGATAGCTACATTATCTTGTGTGTCGGGCACATATCCGTACACTTGCAGTATATCGAAGATCATGTACGGAGACCAACACAGGACGAACACTGGAAGAGAAATGTGTGTCTGTAAATTCTGATACATTATTCTTATATACCTACATTATAACAAATACAAACAAAATCGCTAAGCGGCTGAATACAAATAGCTCGGACGGCCGGTGCATCGCATTTCGAAGTAATTTTGCAGTTACATTTATAAAAAAAAGCTTATCGTCGCTGCGCCTGACAAGTTCCATATGTAATTTTACTAAGGTTTTGGAAAACAACAAAAAACTGTTTATTAAATAAACGGAAGGAATTAATAAAAAACTAATAATGCAGATTCAAACACATTTATTTAAGACATATTACTAATAGACAGTTGACCATAAACATTAGCTATTTATGGAGTTAGAATTTTTTATAGTCAAAAACTGCACATAACTGGTTTAGCGCCGTCCGTAAAGTAACTTATGTGCATTATTATGCACTCATAGGATTTGGCAATGTGACACTTTTATATTTTAAGGTTTATAATTATGTGTTCTTTTGGTTTACTTAGTAATAACATAATATAACAAAATGAATAGGAACTACACCTGAACTATTAAATAATCAGTCGTCCTTAAATTACCAATTACAATGATTGAATATATGAGATCTTAAAATATGGCTCCTTTTAACACTTAATCCTTAATTTCTATTATCACATATAATACCAATTGCAATATTCTGTGCTTTATCACAGCATTTTAAACTAAAAATATTAAAGAAAAAGAAATAAAAAATTAAATAAAACTTGACAAAATCAAATGATAATACAAAACAAGGTAATTAACCCTTACAATCTAAGTAAGTTAATCATAATAGAAATAATTTATAAAGTTACTCTCTGTAATGGAGATTATCATAAAAAGCATGATAATCGCGGTGCATATAAGGCTTTAATGACTGGAGACTATCATATTTAGTTTTATCAAGTTTTCGGGGCTCGTTGTAAAGTGGAGTAATAATTGGTCTTGGGTTGTAGGCACGAACTCGCTGAGGTAGGACTTGCCATTCATCGGGGTGCCGTATCTTGTAGAAGATACTACCATTTTTATACAGAAGAGCTCGTAAGTCATTTACAGTCAGATCTCCTGCCCTTTTACCAGGACGAATGGAATCAAGGCAAGCATCTTTCTCATAATTTTTAAAAAATGTGTAATCTACATGGTGAACATGATATGGTTGCTTTGGTCGAGCTTCTCTCATACGAGTAATATAGTCACTTGGTGTGTAGATTGGGGGACGAAACTTTTTCTCCAATGTTGAGTGGACACTGTCCACTTGCATCATTGTATGACCTTTTTCTAAAATTATCTGTTCAATCTCCAATGCAGTCTCCTTTGTTAATTTTAATAGAGCCGATGATAGAACTTTATTTCTATTCTGATAAGAACACCCATCCGAAATTATAATGTTTTTTTTGTAGTTTAACTGAGTTTCTATGAAGTGTATTAAGCAACTTGTAAACTCATTAGCCGTAACACCTCCATCTCCTTCGTGCCAAACATATAAATGAATATCTTTATCATTATTAACGTAAATTGACTGATTGTGAACTTGAAGCTTTTGCTTATAATATTGAACCGATACCAAAATCTTTGGACAAAGGAGGATAGATTGGACATCAACAGTCAAAACAAGCACTTCGGATGACCGCATACTGCTAGCATCAATATGTGCTTTGTAAGCTTCATTTTTTTTTTGAATGTGTAATGTGTATTGCTCTTCTGAGATGTTACCTTCTTTTCTGGCTGAGCATATATCGCACTGATCCTTTCTTGGTTTATAAATAGAAATCTTTTCCTCTTCCAACACCTTATTAAACAGTTTGCGACCAATAATTGGTTTTCGGTTATCCTTACACCACTCTGTATAAATTCGAAACATGTGAGACTTTGATTCAAAAGTATCGTCAATATAAACTCTGTTACTGCTAGAGCGACAATAGTGACTTGGTACTTTATTAAGTAAGTTCAACCATTCTTTAACAGCAGTTGATCTGACAGTTTTCAAAACAGGTTTTTTTATTATCTTTGATTGTCGTTTTTCATGTTTAGATCTTAAATCCTTTCCTCCTTCTCGATTTTCCTGCAGCTTCTTAATCCATTCTGACAAGGTATCGCTATTTATGTTAAAAGTGCTTACAAAAAAGCTTTTACACACCTTTACAGTGACATTCTGATCATCTGGTAAATAATAGTCATAGGCCAATTGTCTTTGAGATGCATCCTCTGAAACAATCGCGTTTTTACGTCTTCTCAATACCGAACGCATACAAACAAGATTTTTCAAGTAAGCCTTTTTAGCATCCCAAGTATTTAAGCTCCAAAAATAATGAAATATTACTTTTCGTTTCTGTTCGGAAATCAAACCGCATAAAAAGCTCCTATCAGATTTCGATATAGAACATGGTTTTCCTTTCAGATGTTTCCTAGGTTTTGGTACTAATTCATTTATTGCTTTCTTTTCTTTTTCAATCCATTTTCTCTTTCTTCCTATATATTTTTCACCACGTACTCTCTTTAGCCTATTAGACTCTCTTTTTCTATTTATCTCCTCATCACTGCTTGAATACTCAGTTTCAGATGGTTTGGTATCGTTTTCTCTGTTTATGCAAACTGTATTATAATTAGGTTCTAATAACCCTGTCTTCTCATCGAGGTAGTATTCTTCGCTATATAAAATTTCTTTAAAATAATCCATATCCTCTCTTATCTGGCCTGTCACTTTATCGAGAATATATCTTTTGTTTAAATTGAGAGGAATCTCATTATTTTGAATGTCGACACTGTCGGTATTTTCAGGAATGCTAGAAATGAATTCTAATGTACTTACAAAAGGATCAAGATTTTTTTCATACGTAACGTCCTTTAATTCTTCAAATAGAGGAACTTCTATATTTTTAGATGACAAGTTGTACATGTTTGAGATTGTATCGGCAATATTATTATTTTGGGTCAGGTCTGAATTTCGCAAGCATTGCGTTGGATCGTAACTACTTGACAAAATAATATCCGAGGATATATTCAAATCTTTATTTTGATTACTGTTTATGATTCCTTTAGCCAAATTTACCAGTACTTGTGCTCGTGACGATGGTTTGCTTGGATGTGAGTTAAAAGCCATGTCGCCTGAAGCAACAAAAACCAAGAATTAGGTAAACAGCACAGGTAGGTTAGCAGGCATCTTTTGCTATAATTAACTACGAACTTAGTGCACATATATATATAAATATAATATAATATAATATAATATATATAAATATAGCACCTAAATACACACATTACCTACATTCCTATGACGTATGTTATGATAAAAATTCTCAGATTTGCATGTATTGGTAGGCGATAAAGCACCCTATTTTTATTTTGTTCTTATGGTGCAACAAACAATTATGCTGTATATATACATACGTTACACAGCAACAACAAGCGATCATGCTCACACATAACCTTATTGCTACCTGGATTCGAACCCAAGACGATAGATCAAAAATGTAACTGCCAACCATCCAAACAGGTCGTCAAAATTCTCAAGTTTTAAAGACGAGACAAAACCTAATAGCCAGATAAGAAGCAATATCAACTCAAGGGTTTAGCTGTAAAAAGGCAACAAAACGGTAATAAACTAATAACCAAACTGTAACAAACCGGCAATAAGTGGGAATTTTATCGAATTTTAATTTATAATGAAATCTTAGTATTTGCCAAGATTCTGATAATTATAGGTATTTATAGTTAGCAAATAATCAACCATATTTCTCTTATAAATATAACAATGACATAAGTAATAAAACTGCGATGCACATATTTTAGGTTTTTACATATTAAAATTGACAAGTTATAAATGATCATTATCTCAAACTTGAGGAGATAATAATTAAAAAACATTATGATGTAAATAAACTGTGTACTTACCAGTTTAGTTGTGTATCTACCCGTAAATCTGTTTTTTAATGTTGTGTACACTACAACAGTCAGATCTTTAACGCTCTTGGTGGGAGACTAATAAGCGAACACAAATCCTTTGTGTGCATGACTGCACATACTGATTTTTTCAAACGGTCAATACACAAATGGAATTAGTTAAATTCGTTTTTAGGTCGAATATCACAAAAAGGACTTTATCAGCACATAGAGAATAAAAGGCAGATTAATATGAATGAAAAAAAAATATTTGAAAAAATACACATATGGAACTTGTCAGGCGCAGCGACGTTATATAAAAATAGAATAGAAAACGCTTTTATTAAATTCGAGATGTGGTTCTTAATTAAATGATAACCGACCGACAATAGCAGTGTCTTGAATTAATAAGTTGACTTTAAGATAAGTATTATCTGACACTTTATTAAACTTTGAAAAAAAAAAGATTTGTTTTAATATAAATAACACTAAAAAGAATAAATATCTATATAATAAATGTCTATTTATAGAAAATCTTAGGAAAGGAAATTTTGTTTATTTGCTCTTCATATTTTTTTCCAATACATATCTATAATAGAGAAAATCACATTCCTCTTTAATATTATTAAAGAGGAATGTGATTTTTTGTTTATTTGTATTGTTTGACTTGTCCATCTCCAGGTACCTGAGACTGGTGGATTTTTAATAGTTTTTCTTTAAAGTCAGTATATCATTGTAAAAGCAAAATTTATCAAATACTATAATTATAGAAACTAAAAGATTTCTTTTTAGTTTGCAAAAAACAGCACAATTTCATGATATATTTATAAATAGCTCGGTGGCGTAGTGGATAAGCGCCGCGGCCTGCGATCGTAGTCGTTAAGCATCTTTGGCATGGGTCGGTCACGGGATGGGTGACCAAAAAATGATTATTTCGAGCTACTCCGTGCTTCGGAAGGCACGTTAAGCCGTTAGTCCCGGCTGAATTTGCAGTCGTTAATACCCTCCAATCTGCATTGGGCCAGCGTGGAGGGCCATGGCCCATCCTCCTTAACCATCCATAAGGAAGGCCTGAGCCCCTGCAGTGGGGACGTAAAAGGGCTGGTGATGTGATGATGTGATTTATAAATATCCAACATAATAATTCAATTTGTTATACTTCATATTTTTCGAAAAATAGTTTTATTAAAGTACCAACATCATCATACCCGAATAGCTATAAAGATTACTATCTACACCGCGTTAGTAACATTGGAAAATTGTCTGTTTCAAAAATAGTATTCAATATGCAAAATGTCTGGATAAATAATAAACAAGCTTTAGAGAACGCCCGTTGAAGATTGGAAAAGTATTCGATTTTTCTTATATTGCTAAGTTTCTTGGGATGATTTCTTTTTGTGCCTACAGATTTGTTTTTGTAAATTTGTATTTGACAAGGAAAATAATATCTATTAACCTATAAACTAAGAAGTAAGATATTTTATTATTTGCCGTTAGTGTAGCTTTAGATTGGGCAAAATATTTTCAAAGTCGGTTCAGTAGTAATCTTCATGCCAGATACTTTATTTGTTCAATACTCGCTGGTTTTTATGGCTTCTGAGATCACCATCTTAGAATACGCGATATATTTGGTCCTTAATGATGTGTCTTGGCCTTCCATTGCTTCCATATCCTTCCACTTTCGCGTTGTGTGTCAGTTTTGTCATCCTTTCGTGCGGAATCTTTTCACATATCGGAACCAAGCAAGCATGCCTTTGTTAGGTTTTACAGCGAAGATTTGAAAGAGTGTTTCAAATCTTCTTTCTTATCTCTTCATCGAGACTTCAGTCAGTGAGTTTTAGCTCGCAATATCTGCTTAACGATTCTATGTCCTATCGATATTCTACTTTTTTACACCGTCCACATCCAGAACATAGTTATTGTAAAATTGAAATGAGCTGGATATACAAGTTATATCCATTTCACTTCAACTTGCGTGCTTGGCATCGCACGCCGGCTGGTTTCATATTTTTTGAAGTCGCAGTTCCCAGCCCGGTTGGATAAAAAAAAAATGAGTTTTCAATATTTTTTCAGGTCCGGGTGTTGTGGTACAGTCAAGAAAGTGACCCACCAGTTTAGACAAAAGTTTCTTTGAAGTCCAAATATCAATAAGGTTGAAATTTCTAGCAGAGTTTAAATACGTTTACTGATAACTTCATATTTTAAAGAACTCCGTTAACAATTGTTTGTCGTTTCTTTTGTTTTATAATGTTCAAATGAATTTTAACCATAGGGTATTTAGATCATAATTTTAGATTTAATTGTTTTCGTTAACCTTCGTTATTTCATATCTAAATTATACAATATTATCTTTATTGTTAAGTTAAATAGTTTACTTTTAGTAAGTAAACTTAAAATTCATAAAGTGGGTATATAAAATCAAGTTTGATTTCGTAGAGTATTTTGAAACCCTCTTTGGAACAGCTGGAGAAGAAAATAACCGGCATAACTAATTTTCTATGCAAATTAATCCTGAACTTTCCTCTGGAATCTATATTACATTTTAGTCTATTTCATTGATACGAGATCTACATATTAACATGGACTGAGAACGCAGTTTCATTTCAACGCGAAAACGTATACATTGCCGCTTGCGTTTCCAGTCGACTAATGCTTAATTTGTATAGAAGGCTATGTATTACAAACAGACTTGTTTAAACGCAGTGTTTCCGAGCGAAAAATATATCCGACATATATTTAGTCACGACCTTGTCGATAGTCTAACAAGTGAGGATTGTTCAATTAACTTTGTTTATGTAAAATTTTAATATTTCTTTCAACAAAATAACTCAACACCATTTATCAAGGAAAACAAGTCAGTTTAATGGTTTCCTGAAACTGTTGGATCAAACAAATAAGCATTAAATTTATTTACGACAGTTTTATGTAAAAACCATAAGAATAACAATATTGCCCTCGAGTTAGACATGACAGATACGACCGTAACATATTTTTATAGTTCATACGATGTTTCCGAACTCTTAAAATAACATTTGCGCGATCAATGAAGGTTAAATATAAATATAATCATGAATTCGCTACGATCTTCACAGTTTGTTGTAAAAAGGTTATTTTAAATATTTAAACATTGTTTTCTTATTATTTTATTTAAATAAAAAAAAACAGGTTTACTTAAACTTTTCTATTAGTACACAAGAGGTTGCTGTTAGTTGCAATTCTTTTACCACAGACTCGACTTTTAGTTTTGTTCCTGATCTACATTTTCTATTATTTATATAGCTTGAATATTTATCATAATCCAATTCATGTCACCATTTTTTCCCTATGAATGGAATCAAATTGAATCGAATGGGGTGAACGGGTCATAATTCTCAATGCGGGCCCAGTGGGGAATTGTGGGTGCTAATGATTGCAGATACACAAGGACCCAACAGTTTAACGTGCTTTCTGAAGTACGGAACAAATAATATAACAAATGTTAATTTACTGGCGTAATTTATACTCTACCTAATATGTGAAGTTGTCCATTTATTGTTTTTATAAGATCCACAGACCTATATTTTTGAAAATAGTATAAAAAGTATAGTAATAAGGCTGTCTGTCATCGAAAATGAGAAGCACCTATATAAAAAATGTTTGGAGCATCGGAAACCATAAACGGGTAACTCAACACTCTAGTAGAGAATGACTCGAAGCTTTAAGTGCGCCATCAGATATGGCGAGGCAATGATATGGCGATGAAGAGTAAATGATTAACAAAAAAAGATAATACTCACCGAAAACGATAACAAATGTCATCTTGACAGTCTTGATTTTAGCTTTCGGTATAATACCGCGGCTGCTAGCGCGGCGGGTGTCCAGATCGTCACTGTCTGGAAGGAGATAGATCATTAGTCATAGAAGACAGAAGGGCGTTAGAAGAGCCTTGTGGATTGGGTAAGTGTAATATAAGAATTAATAATCAATTTTTTTTAAATTACATCCAATATTACTGCATATATAAGTGGAACGTATGTCACTTTAAGTCGCTGGTCCTAGCTGGTCCTATTTGCAGTCGTTAATACCCTGTAATCCACATAGGGTCAACGTGGAGGGCCATCCTCGTCAATCATCCATAAGGAAGCACTGCCCCCTGCAGTGGGGCCTTAAAAAGGGTTAATGATGATTCCGTATGTCGGAGAGACAAGCAATAAACGTGTCTTTTAAATCAATAGTAATATATTTCCGATGATTCAATATAAATCATCGGAAATATAATACTATACTATTCTAGATAATACTCTGAAAAGGTGTAGCAATATTAATTGAAAAACTATTAGCGTGTGAACCACAATTCTGTTATAAACCAGTCTAGAAACCGGCGATGAGCACAGCGCTGTCACTACGTACTCTACGTAGTTTAATTGAATGGAACCCACATGAAAAGTTAATAAAGATTTTATTTCACTGATGTAAAGTTCGAAGCTACTGTTATTAGAATAATGCTGATGCATAGCTGAACTAATTAATCCATGGCTGAGCCAAAAGTGAGTATAAGGCTAAAATTGTTCTCATAAAGAGATGGAGGGAATTCTAATGTTTCTCTGTGTTCTGTGGTATATCCTACACAATGCGGCATTAATTTCATTTGGCGAATGAGTTGTCAGCGAAAGTTTCTCGAACAATCTGTTGAATCGAGTTTTCTTTTAATTAAAACGAAACTGGTGGGCGTTTGGATAATGAAACACTGTAAACCGTAATTTGATCATGATTTTCTCTTCACTAATATTATAATTTGATTGTTTGTTTGTATTAAACATTCTCCGAAAATAATCCTACAGATAGCCACATAATACGCAAACTATAATTTATGCTATAGTCTTGGTAAAATAGGCAGTCTAAATAAAAAAAATATATATAATCAAAATAAAATCAGAATTATATGTATATAAGTTACTGATAATAAACAAATAATAATCAACTAATATTATAAAGAGGTACAGTTTCTGACTTCATTTGTTTATAAGAGGTAACCTATAAAATACTGGTCCGGTCGTAAGGATTCTTTCACTACGCAAAGCTACACCATACGCGGGTGACATAAGCTATAATACACGCAGGCGAAGTAGATGGTAAAAGCTAGTTCATGTATATATTTCTTAATATCACTCCAAAAGAAAAATTACTTTTTGAATAGACACTTAACGAAATCTGTCCATCTGTTAGTCATCTTGCCATTTTTCAAATAGTCTTTCTCAGTTGAGTCACGTTGCTCCTAATTTGGTACGATTCATCTGCTCGGTGTTTTTCTACCCATCAATTTACTTACCCGTCCGTTTCGCAAACGGAGTGTAACCAAAGGAATGGTAATTTTTTTTTGAGTCTTTCGTCCTCTGATGAAGTTAATTAAGAGCTTTTGTTGCTTAAAAATTATTTACTAGTGTTAATAAATCAAATTAAATTGATAATAAGAAAAATGTAACTAAAGAATATTAAACAAAAATAAAATGTTAATAAAATGAGTTTTCCATTTATCCGACTATAACATTCAAAAGGAGAAGTTTCTATATTCGACTGATATGTATAATTAGAACCAGTAAAAAAAAAATAATGAGACGTCATAGGAATAATGAGACGCCAGAAGAACCCGAAGGATGAATACAGAACCCCCCGAAACTTAAGATGAGTATTATTTTTAGAGCCACGCAATTAAAAAGTAATTAAAGTGCTCTTTAAAAAATGGAAGAGATATTTCCTTTTTTTGTGAACTAGATTTTATTCCTATTTAAATTTAACGTTTGTCATATCTAGCGCATAGATTTTCATGATACGCGGTAGGGCCTAATTGTATGTTGCATACTAAATAATTATATACACACACGAGACGGGTTAGATACAACTGACGCTTCGAACATTTCATTTTTGGAATGAAAAATATATAGAACTAGCTGTTTCTAAAGAATTATAACCTATATCAGCCCCCTGTAGCTTTCCGTAGGTGAAAGAATTGTCAGTATCAGTAGATCAGTATTTTCGCGGATTACCCCTACAGACAAACAAAATTAAATGCTTTACCACTTTATAAAATGAGTAAAGAACTTTTCAACTCACATTGTTTCGTAACGGTGGCCCTTCTGCCCAGAACCCTTTGACTCTTATGTCTTATGGTGACCACTATAACCCCGTAACAGGCCGCTATTATAAGGGCCGGTATCACGAAGAGAGACAAAAAAATACTCGTCATCCATATCCTCCATTGTGTTTTACTGAGGTCCAACCAGCATTGGAGCATACCTGAAATAGACAAAATGTTAGAAGAATAAGCTTCAGAAAAAAATTCAATCACAAAAAAGTAGAAAATCACTTAGTAACTGGAAAGGTTATGAAATTTCGTTTGAAGTCGGACGAGATTTATTTTGCCATCCATTTTACTATACTAATATATAAAACGTATCCATACTAATACTCATAAAATATTGATCACCCGATTTATAAAAGTTTCTAGAATTTCTTAACTCCTTTCTAGTTATTAACCTATTGCTTCTTAATATTTTTAAACGCGGTTTTTCATTTATTTGTTTTTAGTGTCAAATAAATTTCTACTATTTTTTTCATTGGATGCTAAATGAATTCCTATGCTGTGAGTTTCTTGAATTCGTAAACTTTTGTGGTTTCCATTAATTATTTATCGTTTTTTTTGGATTGCTTTAGTTCTTTGAAAAAATTTAAAGTTGTATTAGATCTATAATAATCAGTAAATTATTATTATTAGATTTATAATTATCAGCAAAAAAACTAATTTCAAAGTATAAAAATTTACTACTGATTAATTATCATGAACATCATCAATTAGAGTCTTGGTTCGTGCCTATAGAGATGCCCTCTCTCCCTCTCTCTTAGTCACGACTATGCGAACCCATCAGATATTCTCATAAGGATCTCGCCGCCTTCAACAGGCTCAATTACGCTGTAAAAGTCATTTGCGACAGCAACTACACATAATAAATCGGTTAGACCAAGAGCCCCGAGCTGCAAAGACCCTGCTCGGAGGGAAACAATTTCTCTTTAGTCTTCCTAACGTTTGCTACGTCTAAATAGTACCATAATCCCCTTCTGGTCCTATTGGGTAATAAAACATAAAAAATACTGTCGAATCAAATGCTCCTCTTGAAGTCGGCTGAAAATAACTCACCAACGTCCGCCTCGTCGAATAGAATCAACATTGGTACACAGAAAAGAAAACTAATAAACCACGCTCCCAGTATTAAAGCACGAGCTCTTCTCCCTAGAAAGAAATAAAAACTTATAACCGTACACATAGTTCTGTTAATTTCATTCCAATGTGACTTTCAAGTATCAATGCTAACAAATCCTAATTAAAAAGTGAATTTATAAAAATATTTGGCAGAAAAAAGCTAATGAATAGCGTGTTGTAAATAATAATGTCTCGCGTATAATAAGGATAATTCCTTGGTAAAAAGAAATAAATTCTCTTTAGTCAGTCAGTCAGATAATAGAAAATACCAGATGCGTATTATATTTCTTTTTTTTTATCAAGAAATAGAGCATAGATAATAAGCATTAGAAGGCGCGAGCCCAGTACGGATTGCTGGCTGACAATGAATGCAGATGCACCAGGGAATAGCCAAGCACGAAGAGCTCGACGTAATAAAATTTTGGTTCATCTTTTAACCGACCTTTGTGAAAGTATTTTAACTTTCACTGACCAAACGCATCATCGGTGAAGGATACAATAAAATACTCACAGCTACCAGAGAAGTTCATCGGATGTGTTATGGCGTCACATCTGTCGACACTTAGTGCGACCAACACATACGTAGACGAATACGTAACTACACCCTAAAACAAAACATTTACATTGGAATTTTAAGGATGCTTCGCACCATTATAGCAGTTAAAGTTAAAGTTTATATCAAAGACGATAACGCTGACTATGTCGTTGACTGCAGAAAAAGTTGCACCATCTTTTATCTTGGCAAAGTAAATATTATTTTAAAGTGCAATAATTTTAATCAGCGAAATTTGGACATTTATTGTTAACAGTTAGAGTTATGGCGTCATATCCTCATTGCTACATGATGCAACTCGTTATTTGCTTATCCGGTACTTTAACATGTTAGTTATTGTTAAAGAGATTTGGTGTAACCATTCTTAAACAATTTAAAATAAATTTTAATATTGAAAATAAAAATCATAATTAGGGCAATAGGGATGACGCTTGGGTAAAAAAAAAGGAATTCTTTTTAGTCCGTCAGTCAGATAATAGAAAAATATATGAAACGTATATTTTTTACTTCAATTTAACTAGAAATAGCTTAGATTTGAGGATTAAAGTTGAGGAGTGGGGGCTCGCGAACGTCACAGTTTTGTAGAAAACGTACTATAACGTGACGTCATACATTTTTTCAACTCCATGTATCGCCGTAATATTATGATTACGAAAAAAATAAAAAATACCTGTTTAATATTTTTCATCACTCTACTTGAAGGACAAACAATTATAATAAAAATTAGTAGCTTTTGAACCATAAACCTACACTTTTGATTCGTAAGAGCAGTAATGTATTATATAATATAATTTATATATTTTATGTACCAGCTAAGATCAAAATTAATCAGTACAACCACCAACAAACATTTTTTTTTAAATATACGTGTAGATATTTATTACTTTATGCGTTACTAACATTATCACAAAGTAATTAACAATGACTACATTTTTATTAATTTAACAGTGGCACGACGTTCAAGGTGTCAGTCAGTTGAATATATAAAACGAAAGAAATAAATATAAAAACTCACCTGTAAATATTTAACTAACTTGCACGCTATAGATCCCGCAAGCCATGTTATTGTTATTCTATGAATTAAGTCTGGTAGTACACTAATTAACCCAACTAATAAATCTGAAAGACAAACATAAATAGTTATTCTTTTTCATCAAGATAAGTTATATTTCAAGCAATATTTCTATAAAATAATTAGTTAATAGTGAGTAAATAAATAATTTTTATGCATTTTAATTTCAATGTGTGAACATCTTGGGCTCTGAACGAAGCTTGGGACCCACTTCATAGTTAAAAAGGACATAAATATATGTCTATACAGTGTCGAATCGCCCATTACGGCCCAATTAATATTCGTTCGTATTCGTAATAGTTAATGAAGTACTGTCTAAGACAAATGTTGTAATAAAACTCAGTGATTAAGGTTTGACAAAATTATTGTATTAAAGAGATAAAAAATAATGAACCTGATGTAAAATATGATATTACGTAAAATTCGATAAAAAATTTAGATTATTTTATTTTTTAGATTATTTTAATTTAGATTATTAAAGACATCTTTTTCAGATTGTCACTCTTAAAAAGATGGTATAAAGTACTCTATTTGAGTGACAAATTAATTTTATCTCAAAGAATGAATTGTAAGAATATGTTGAAAATGACATTAGATATTTTAGTCCATCAATCTCTCACGATCTACCTAGTAATTTTTTTTTCTTTATAATAAGACAAACGATCTTAAACCAAAAAAAAAGATGATATTGCGGTGTTATGGGCTCAATTATAACAGACACTAAAATGCCGTATTATAATTATATATAGACTGACATATAGGTTCAGAATCTGAAAAAGAGAAATAGTTACGCTATAAAAATCTGCCTATATGAATATGGAATAGTTTCGTAAATCTAATAGTTTGCAATATAAGAGCTTTTTAAATTCACGTCTTTAAGTATTACTACATTGCACACCATATTTCCTTTGTTTTAACTATATTAATGCGTTTGTAATAATTTTATAGCTTAGAATAACTGGATAAGTTCGTAATACTGGCTTCAATTATCGTTGAATTAAAATTTAATATTAAAGTTAGAACTACTGTGTCAAATTGTATACCAAGAATTGATTTCGCTTTAATATGAGCGGCTAGTTAGTTACAACCTTATTGTGGTAAAAGGAGCTACATACATTAAAATCAGTCTGAGGTTCATATCAAGGAGGTTATATGAAATCTTGGTGGATAGGTCTCTTACTGTCCAGCTTTGGTATTCTCGTAAAAAATCAGTATTGAACTCGTAAAGCACAGTGCTCTCATAGTATGGGGATAGATACATCTGTAACTCAGCTACGGTTTCTTGTCCCATCCCCCATCTAAGGGTTAACTGAAGATTGTACCCAAAGCATTTTACCTTCATTAAAAAGGGTGGTCACATAATGGAAGTTCAATAAAATCAAACCGCTGGCAAACGGTAATAATGGTTTTATTTCATTGAAATTACTGTGACTGCGCTTTCGAGAAGGTTTGCTATAAACAAGTTTTCGAGTTATAGTAAGATTAGCTCACCAGATATGGCTAGCTGCATGATGAAGAAGTTCATTCTGCTCTTCCTTGTCTTGGTGAGAAGGAGCGCCAAGATGACCGTGGCGTTACCCGCCACGATCGCCACCAGCATCAACCATAGGACTGCTACCTGAGCTGTCTGCAACAATATTATGTATCAATACTAGTCTTATAAAAAGGTAAAGAGTAATAATCTTCGAAAATAATGATCCAATCATGAAATTTCTTCGCGGGTATGATGTAACTTCGCGTAGGCGTAGGAATTTTAAAAATTGGTCCAATAGTTTTAGAATCCTTTAACTCTATTCTTGGCATTGGGTATTATTATATTATATTTTTATCGATATTTATCTGTTATAATAATATATTCTATATTTTTATAGACGACATAATAAAATACATATTTTGTTGCTGCTGCGTTAATTATGTGATAACTTTTCCGTAGAATCAAAATACATCAGATTAATGTTCTTTTATAATAAGATTTACATAAATTAGAAATACAATTAGACTTAATTTTAAAATTGAGTAGTAGGGGAGACCGAGGAGATTTGAAACAAAGGTGAGTTGAAACAGTACCAATTTCTCGGAACTTAAAACCGTTAGCGGGTTAGCAACTTCGCCTTATAACTATTTTTCTCCGCCCGTCGTGGTGGGAGTTCACGTCGGAGGTGTGCCTCGCGCGGTTGTGGAGTTCTGTCAGCCGTATGTCAAAAATCGTGAAAAGTAAGTTTTTTAGGCTTTGTTATGATGTTTATATTTTTATATAGGTTTTGTATTTTGGTTTAAGTTATATGTGTTTCGAAAGCTCTTTAACTAAAGATTCATTGTATATGTTTGGTACAGTTGATTTCTATGTATTTGCTTCTTCATTGTAGATTAAATAAAAATGAGAGGTTTTATTTCTACTGAGGAGATTTGAAACAGACTGTTTCAACTCTCCTCGGTCTCCTCTACATAGATAACATGAGATATTGGAAAATGGCTGCAAAGCAGACAAATGCCACAGCATACACTTCACGAATGTTGCACACAGCGTGACGGGTAGTAACGCTCCTAATTAATGTCTATGATAACTTAATTTATTTATTTTATTTTAGAATGCCAACTTATTATAAAAAACAGACTGACAGGGGTAGGTATGGCAAGTCGCGAAACGTATGATCTCGCAGCAGAAGAAGTAATTTTGCGCCAGAAAAGTCTCCGTGACGCGGTTTCGAGTTATAATCTGAACCATACATCTCTCTGCAGGTATATTAAAAAAAAATGCTTATGAAGGCAACGAAACGGCAACTGCTCCTAGAGTTGGATATCCTGAAAAGACTGTTTTTACAGCTTCAGAGGAGAAGGCAATCTTTTAAACTGCGCTGCTGTTAACTTTCGCCTAAGAACTAAAGAAGCCAGAACTTTTGCCTATAAATTGGCTGTAAATATAATACATAAAAAATATAATAAAAAAATCGCTTCTGCTTGGACTGCTCATGAAATGGCTGGAAAGGTTTGGCTTCGATCATTTATGAAACGGCATCCTGTTCTTTCACTTAGACTACCTCAACCTACAACTATCGCTCGAGCTACAAGTTTAGCAGATCAAATGAACAACTTTTTTTCCAAAATTATACTACAGGGTTACAAGGGAAGGATATATGGAAAGTTGATGAACCAGGTATCACAACAGTTCAGAAACCAGACCGCATCATTGTAATACTTAAGAAATTACTGAAAATTAATAACTATTGTATGTAAAAGATTGAGGAAGATCCTTTTTATTTAAGTTGAAGGTGTAATTAACTCATTTAAGAGTTAAATATATTTATGAGACCTGTAGTTATATACTTGACTGATATATCAGTACAAAATCCTTATATAAAAAGTTGTTACATACTAAAAAAAATTTATTTAAATAAATACCTTGAAATTATATAATCATTTTTATTTTACATCCCTTAATGCTTCTCAAAAATCATATGTTTCAACTCTCCTCGTCCCCTGTTTCATCTTACCTCGGTATGAGGAGAGTTGAAACAAATTGACTTGTTACGGTTAAGTCGATGTCTACCACAATATTTAACGTTTACGACTACTTTACGTTAGTCATTCGCAGGTGTAAATAATTACCTTTCGATTGGTACTAATATCATACGATTTCTGTGTATAATATTTGATGTATGAAATAAAATGTCAAAATTGTTTCAACTCTCCTCGGTCTCCCCTATCTATGACTAAATAAACCTGAATCTCAGACTCCAGTGGTTCCTCTTTTTATATGGCAACAGTCTGCGTACAAGTTTCCAACAACTTATATGTTGGAATTGCCTTTAATAGGGATAGCAGGCACTTTGGCATAGAAATATAAAATAGTGATAAAAACCTCAGTGCAGAAAACACCATAAAAAGAATGTTGGGAAAACTCATTGGTGGAAAAGCCTTGAGCCGGAAAGTTCAAGTTAGAGAATGAAGAAACTGATATACAATGCTAAGGTGGAATTATATAAGAGACGCAAAAGGCCAAAATACGTCTTTCAGGATTATATGATTTAGTTGATATCGATAGATAATGTCAGAAGTCATAAACACAGAGGACCTAGTAAGTACTCTTTATAATATTAGTATTTCTCATTAATGTTCATATTCTTTTTACAGTCGGCTGTCGGGCATGACTAGACTGAGCAAACATAATAGGTACACAGAGTAAAAGAGGTGTGCTAGCAAGCACAAGATAGTAAACCCCCGCTTGGGGCACACCACGACATTCCGAACACATACAGGGACAGTATCATTTTAAAGTGTATTTATTTATTATTTAAATATAATAATACTTCACAATCCCATGTATTGTTTGAGAATTATATTTTGTTTAGTTTTTTTATTGAGGTATTGGAATTAAAAAATATTTATTTATCTGCCTAAGGCAGGATTGCACCATAATAATAAGTTAAAGTTTAGGTTTATATCAAATTTGACACTGACTTATCCTCTTTTTGAGCATAGTAAAACGATAACTTTAACCACCGAAGCTTGGGCGGTTAAAGTTGTGACGTAATCTAACCGCGGTCAAATAGTGGAACTCATTATTTACATAATCGGTACTTTAACATGTTATTGTAGTTAGTGTAACCAACCCTTAGTAATGTAAGGTCACTAAAGGTTAAACGTGTTTATGTCATTTGATATTTACCATAATATAATTACACTAAGTATGGTCATGATCCGAATTATAATGCGAGCTATTAGTGCTATAAAATATGTTATTACCATATAAACGACCTGTTTACATCATGTGGGACGGCATTTATACTATAAGTGAAGTACTATAATCTAAGTGAAGATACATTTATAACATCGATACTATGTACTATTTATTTATTGTCGAGTAAACATACATATAATCAAATCAGAGTTTCATTCTTTTTGATGGTCAAATATACGTTTGCTATTTTAAAACGATAATTTTTACCGCTCAAGATTTCATATTATAATTGTACTCAACAAAAAGTTTAGTTAAAATTAGTTTTAAAAACCTAAAAACAAAGGCGGTTTACAAAGAATCATGTCCAATTTTGACTTAAAAATTTACTAACGCGTCTAATGATGTAATATCTCATAAATTAATTTATTTTTTACTCATTACATATCAGGAAATTAAATCTTAAAATAAAGTCAATATAAAAATTGCAATGCTGATAATTATTTTAAAATATTACTATGATGACTACCCAAATTCGATTCGGAACCTAAAATGACGGTTTGCTACACTACCCCAATGCGATTCGGACACAATGATGGTGTGCTACGTTTCATAAAAAAGTGCATTAATAATCAAATTTGGATTTAGTTCTATATTTACGAGTCAAACTATAAAGCAGCTTCACAATTATCTCAAGTTTTGACAGCTGTTATAATCTCAAAATATTATTTACACATAACTAATCTGCCTGGCCTCCTGATGAAAGTAAGATATTATAATATTTTAAGCAAACACTAATTTAAATTATCACTAATGGTGGTTAAACGCGAACTTTAAAATAAGTGAAAATAAAAATATCTTTATTCAAGTAAAAAATCAAATCAAATTCTTTATTGGCCTTGTAACAGAGAATGTTTCACTAGGTAAGTCATAATATACATTCATTGTCATTTAAGAATATGATATAAACTGTTATAATATCATGATTATTAATAAATATAAAATAAATTATTTCAAATATAAGTATGTGTAGAATTTCAATAATAATATTAATAAAAAAAACATGATTAAAATAAATTGTCATTAAATTAATAATTCAATCGGATATTATTTTTAACATTATTATCACTTAAAATCCACGAAAATGAGGATTCAGTCAATGGCTATTACATGCACTTTTGAATCGTCCAAAAAATGTTTTTTCCGCTACCACTTGTTCAGGACGTCTTTTAGCTGACAAGAAGTACAAGCGAAAGAAACTTACCAGCTTTTTATCATAAGTAATGACATTTACATAAATCATGTCATTACCAAAATATTATGTATTATCACAATAATAAATACAACTTTCAAAGTTTTTAGGATATAGGTTGAACATATTCTTGGTTTTTATAGAACAAAGCGAAGGCCATTAATTCCATGCACCCTTAAAATAATCATCAACTTTATAATAGCCTTTACTCATAAGTATGTTCTTTACATGAATTTTAAATTTATTTATGAGTAGGTCAACTACATTTTGTGGAACTTTATTGAACATAGCAATGCATTTACCCAGAAATGATCCTCTGGTTTTCTGAAGTCTGAAGCTTGGAACGGCAAGTTTATTTATATTTCTTGTGTTAAGATTATGAACACTAACTTTTTTTTTGTGAAGGAATCGTAATGTTTTCTTGCGTACATAATATTTTCATAGATGTATTGAGAGGCAACAATCAAAATATTAATTTCTTTAAATATTTCTCTGAGAGATTCTCTAGACTGTAAATTATATATAGCGCGGACAGCTCTCTTTTGTAAAATAAAAATATCTTGAATGCTAGCCGCAGAACCCCACAACAATAAACCATACGTCATTACACTATGAAAATAACTAAAATATACCAATCTTGCCGTTTCAATATTTGTCAAGAGTTTAATTTTCTTAACAGCATATACTGCAGAACTCAGTC